ATGGACCCTAGGCGATTGCTTCTTTGTTCATGGAGAGAAGGCCAAGATGTCCTGAAATGGGCTGAGTATGAGATCGGTCTGTTAGGTTCTGCCTGGAGAGGCGACTGAAATGAACTGAGAGATGCCCTGCGGATAGACAGGAGGGAGCCCATGGCTGGGCAGACGCTGGGCATGGGGTGAGGAATGGAGGTGGGAAAGAGGTCCCCCTGGACTCTCAAGACGAGGAGAATCTAGAGATGGGCTGGTTTGATTCCTTCTTACTCCGCAAGTAGCTCCCTATCATCGTCGCCCTGCTGGTCAGGCTTGTGGATTAAGGGCACAAGCTATTGGGCTGCGACCTGCAAGGTCAGCGGTTTGAAACCATCAACCTCTCCGAGGGAGAAAGACGGGGCCTTTCTCCTCCCGTAAAGAACGACAATCTTGGAAATCCACAGGGGCGGGTCTACCTGGACCTACGAGTCAATGGTTGGATGACAGTGCATTCGGTCTGGGGGGTTGGTAGAGAATCTTAACCCTGGTTCTTTCAAAGGCCCTAGATGGACAGACACGTGGAAGAGGAGCATCCGTGGGAAGAAGGGACCGGGAGAGACGGCAAAAGCAAGGCGCGAGAGAACATCGACAGGAGAGAAGACTCCCGTTAGGGAGAAACTAGGAGATGGGCAGGCAATGTGGGCAAAGAAGGCAGAGGAAGAGGAGGATGGGAGAGACGATAAAGAGGGGGGCTCCCTTTGAAGAGGAGGAGGAGGAGGAGGGAGGCACGAGGAAGGGAGGCATAGGAGCAGGCTGCCCGCATTTGGGCAGATGTTGGTCTTCGTGCGAGGATGACGGGGAGAGAATGATGGCTGAATTTTCAGAGGGAGTCTGATCTGGGCAGCCTTGGGAAGACAGGGGTGGGGGTGGGGTTCCTACTTACCCAGACCGCAGCGGCTGGCTGTCACTCCTCTGGACCAGGCGTTGAGCTGTTGATTGGGCAGAAGGGAGACGGGGATCTGAGCTGGGGGAGGGGGAGGGCTCTCTACGGCTCTGGGTGTGCAGAGACTGGCTAGGCACCGGGGAGGAGGTGGAGGGGGAGAGGACGGCGGCAAAGATGGAGGAACAAGAAGAGAAGGTGTTCTTTTCTGGGGGAGCGAGTGAATGCCGGGGGAGACAGGGAGGGGACAAGGACAGGCTCCACAGACAGAGAAGAAGGACATATAAGGAGACCGCAGAGGCCAGCTGTGCAACAGGGACGGGGAGAGTGGGCGACATTCCAAGTCCCGATAGAGAAGCTGGACACCTAGAGGGATGGGAAGAAGGGCGAGGATCCCAGAAGACAGTGGTGGGAGACGTGCCCCCCTCCCCCCAGAGGATTGAGGGGTAGTGAGGACCATAGACGGGGGACAGACTGGCGATCAGGGGTGGACTTGGAGAGACTGTGGGAGCGGGGAGAGAGACGCACAATGAGATAGGGCCAGGGGCAGACACGGAGCAGAAGGGAGAGGCAGAGAAAGACAGGGATTCCAGAGAGAAGTGGGAGTCCCAAGACACGGGAGATGGGGAGAGAGTTGGGAGGCAGAGGAGACATGAGGGACCCCAGCCTGCTAGAAGCTGGGAATTCTGGGCTGCATCGTAAGACTTGGTGGGGAGGCGGGGAGGCGGAAGGACCAGGCCAGAGCCCTGGGAAGGCAAGTGTCCCAGTAGTACCATGTCAAGGGCCAGCCTCCTCGGTCCCTCCCATAACCACTGGGCCAAATGAATCTCTTTGGATTGTCTTCACTCTCAGGACCAACCCAAGTTGCGGTGCCAATTCATGCCCTCCTAAACGTGTGGTCTCCAAACCGACACACACGCATTTCACAGTCATGGGGGAGCCAGAGATGAGGTGACATTGGGCCATTAAGAGAGCGATTAGACATGTGAGATGTGGGGGAGGGACCAAGTCCTCGCTGGTACTGAGATGCCTCATCCCTGCTTGATTGATCATCCACCAAAGGGCAGCAGGCACGGGAGCTATAAGCACATTCCTCTCTCTAGCCCTACATCTTTCCCCCACGTTGGCAGAAGTCCCAGGATATCCAGGAGGAAGCAGGGTGTCCAGGCTTGCTGGGGGAGTGCCGATCCCAGGCAGGGGCACCTGGGACACCTGCTCACATCTGGGCAGGGAGGGAGGTTCGGAATCCCAACAGCCCTGTGGGACTTTTCCCCTCCTGACTCTAAGTGGGCTGAGAAGGCTCTGGTGTGGTTGTTGTAGAAGCCATATGGCTCAGAAACCTAAGAGTGTTGTGTGGAGTGGGGGGTGGGAGGATGGGGGGGTGTTCAGGGGGATGAGCCCATCAGATAGAAGGGGACCAACTTATTTCCCCAAGCTCTAATCCAGGGGGGCCTCCTCGCAAAATATCCCAGGGAAACAGTTGAGGGGCCCTGGACAAAGCGGTGGAGAAAGGATGAGCAAGGGCCCCACACCCCTACCTCCATCACCTCGCCAACGGATTAGATGTTTATCTCCCCCACAAAGCCGGGGACCATTCCTCTCTGACAATTCCCTGGGCTTTGGAAACCACGAAAGCAGAGATTTACCTTCACCACCCCCGAAGACGTACGTTCCATGGCTGCTGACAGAACAATGACACCCATTCCACCCAGTAATCTCAGAATCCGAACGTCACCAGGCTTCTGGGAGGCACCAGGAAGATGGCAGTCCAACCGTCCGTCCATCCTCAGCTGCAGAAAATGAGAGACTGACTGAACGGCTAGGCAGATGCAGACAGGAGGAGGGTGCTCGGCCGGGTGGACTAGAGAAAGCACAAGTGTGGAAGAGAGAGCTTTATGTCAATTAGTAACTGTATATTGAGAAACCATCCCAGCCCAGTCCAGATCAAGTCCCTATGTCTGATACTAGTCTATAAATTCCTGTTTAGACTCACGCAGCACATGCAATGATGCTGAATGCATCATTGGAAAGTCTTGTGGATCCAGTGGTGGGGGAGGCACCTCCACCCTGGCGTGGGTCTCCACGTGTCTCCCCCACCTCCTGTGTGTGTCTCCTCCATAGGACGGTGAAGGAGAGAGTGTGTGTGGTTCTCCTCCAGGGAGCAAGAGAGGAAGTTCCCAGAATCCTCATGAGACGGTCACGCCCACACGGA